ACCAAAAATTTTACCTTAAAAGTTTTCAGAATGGCTGCCAAGTCCTTACAGATGTAAGTTTTCAAGACCATTAGCAGATTTTTGTCTTTGAAGAGCTTTTACACCTCTTAACACTTTTGCAAGTCCATAACGGACCATAACGGACGTCAAGTGAATCCTACAACGAGCGGCTTTCCATTGAACAACAATGACAACAAATTGATTAATGAAGCTGGGTCTTTGTGCTGCTCCGATTCAGTGGAGGAAGAAAACAAAATTGAAGAGCAATCAGGTCGATCTATCCAGTGTCGAATTCCACAGTCACAGCGAGGGAAAGCGAAAACAGTACTTGTCGAGAGAATAATTTAAGCTCAGCGTCCTTCCTTTTCAGATTTTTCATTCAACTAAGTTCGCAAACGGCGCACATGTCAAGTGATTTTCCCTTAGTATACCGGAAGTTACATTAATATCCGGTCGTTTTTTTTGTGATATTTAAAATGAAATTTACTAAAATTCAGTTGTAATAACCAGACGTTTGGCGTTAAAAAAAATTAATAAAACAATTATTCCATTCGCGCGTGTTGGATATGAGATAGTTATAGCCAACTACCACCTCATACCCAAAGCGCAGTTTTGGAATAATTGTTAAATATCAATATCATGCAACAATAGGAGGTCGCGTTCAAAGGTACTGAGAGCCATCCCCCACTAGTGATCAGTGCGAAAAAAAACATGTTTGATAGACTCTGTCTGTCTGAACCACTAACTAGTGTACAGAAGTGTACTGAACAAAGTCAAGGAGTGTTTTTCAAAATGTTAACGGTATGGTTGTCGCGATTTATACTCTGAACAAACATTATTTTTACCGAGTAGGGAAACTATTTGACGTGACTTAGGCTTCCTCTGTTTGTATAGTACAGACGTTGTCAGTTGAGATAATAAAAACATCATTCTGTTGCTATCAAACATGTGTTGGTATCTATATCGATTTAACACGTTACCTTGATGATTTTTCAGAGTATTCACTTAATAAGGACGCCTGGCTGGTCCTTGCTAATAGCCGGAACGCTGGTTGCGCGCGCTGGATCCATTTCCACATGAAGCGCATAATCACTGAAAAGTCGCTAAATGAGTTAGTTATATAGCTATTTACAATCATTGAAATATAAAACTCTACCATAATTGTTTATTCAAAAGATAATCATACTTTCTTACCAACCTAATTACGGAAAAAATGAATTCAATTAACTTCCGAACAAAAGCGAGGGAAAAGCGGGCTGCATGGTACACAAGTGTGCGTTCAAGTACTATCAAATTGTGAATACACGGGAATAAAGTTGCAAAGTTGTTTTGCACATTAAACCTGTAGCTTTTTTGACGTTCCCGTTATCGTCGCCGTCGTAGTTTCGTACTGTCCCTAGACGACTATTATTTCTTACTATTAAAAGTACGTTATAAATTAGACCGTATTAGTATAGTTCACGACCGCGCATTAATTGAAGGATAATATAGAAAATACAAAACTTACAGTGAATAAATCTGCTATATTCCTACTTGCATCACGCTTTCTTGTACATTTCTTTGCAGTCCCTGCACAACTACGACGTGAAATGACCAAATTTTAAGTTTATTTGGGAACGGGAACGACAAGGCGATAAATTCTACCACTTGTGTTTGAACTAGGCCGCGGTCCCTTCTCTCCAGCTCCAACCCAAATTCCACTCTTTTAAGTAACTGCACCCTTAGAATAATCGTAAAAAAAAGTGAAAGGATGCGAAGTTTATTTTTTAGCGACGTTTTCATGGACGTCAACGTTGTCGGATCGTAAGGTCCTAGCGGGCTTTACAGCGACGCCGAGCCACTCGGCAAAGCAAGCCCATCACTTAAGAGAGGATTTCAGGGCAGGGATGTCGTTTGTAATCGTTCCAATTGAAGAAAACCGAGAATTTTCTTAGCTAAAGGAAGTGTGTTGGTAAAATTTGCTACCGGTAGCACTTGTCAATCATTACGATAGATTTCTCAAGGACATGCTTCATGTCGGATTTTCGTGTTCAAATCATTATTTTCCTCTTTTGTCTCATTTCTATCTGAGCTTATTCCACGTAATATCAAAAGTTCTTATTCAGTGAAAAGGTAAGTGAGATGCAAAACTCAAGCTCTTCTTAAACTTCTTAAACTTGTCGGTGAGTCATACAGTTCGCAGAGCTCAGAAAATAATGCTTTTAATGGAAATCAGCCTAAATCAAAATGAAACTTCTCCACTCTTGGTGGCTGTATTGCGAGCTACAAATGGGCTTCGAAACGCCAAAAGGCGAAGAAATCCTACGCCTATTAACTCCCCGTGTTCTCGCTGTGTTGAACCGAAAGAAACGTTTTATATTAACAATTCATAGCGCACCTTGATTTCTATAAGGCGTCGGATTTTGTAAGGCCCAAGTTTATTAAACAAAGACCAAAATTAATTTACTCATTTCCATGTCAACTCTAAGCAGGGTTTGGCATTCACGAAAATACCTATTTACGTTTAATTCGCTTTTTTAAAGTAGCAACTAAATTTTGTTATTCGGGGTTTATTCCATTGCTATACGGCTAAGTTATCGTAGGTGAAACTGTATCTAACTCCACTGCAGCTGTTGCAGCTGTATAATTACCGTATGTAGATTTGAAATGGAAACATACTTGTCTACAAATTCTCACTGTTAACATTACGTTTGTCCATTTTTTTCCACGTCCAATTTCTTTCCCTTTTCAGTCTCTGTCAACCACCTGTTTCGTTGGCCTACTTTTGGAAAACAGTATGTACGGACATGAAACACAAAGGAATTACCGTCAGCTTTTTGTGAAACAATGCGAATTTAGTTGTAAAAAACTGAAATATTTTAAAAAGTTGAAATTTATATATGAAACTATAAGAGAAACTAAAGATAAGCTATAGATTTTTATTCGGTGGCTTTACGAGTGTTGATTTAATGAAACGTAAATACAGATTAATTTTGGGAAGTGAAGAAAATACAAAGACATCAAATGGTGATGACATAATTTATTCTCTGAACAAAAAGGCCATTTTTTCGAGGGGTCAACTGTCGTCAAATTTCTTGAAACACTTGTGTCGTTTCTCTTTCCCCAATATTGTTTCAATTATCACAGTCGCCTCTCCGCTCTGAGGATGGAGAAGGTGATAGGGACATTTGGGTGAGAATATTAAGAACATTTAGGAATTATTTAGGAACGAAGCTTCTTACACAGCTGTAAGTCATTGTGGTGAAAAATTCGAAAAATAAATCAGTCTTTATTCTTCGAAGAGGTTTCGAACACATCGTAGAGCTACGTCGGAGAACTGAGGCAGGTAAAGATCTAATTAAGCGAAGATTTTACACTGCGATCATGCCCCGTGACCCTATGCAGACGCCTTATCAGTTATCTCGCAGTTAAGGAAGAATTGGGGAAATGTGATCGTTAGCTTAAAAATTTATTCCTTTATTGGCAGATTCCTTGCTATAATAAGTTTTCACGCGTTTTCTCTACCCTCAGACAATCGATATTCGAGCTTAGCTCGAAGCTAAAGGTAAATAGATTTTGCCATGAATTGTTAGAAAGAAATGGCGCATTCACAATTTGGTTGTATTGAAGTTTAATGTTTAGATTTCCAACGTAATTATGACTACTTTTATTTAACTGCCGAATGTGTTCCATAAGATTCCTTGTCGTTCTCTGCACCCTCATACAATGGGAAACAAAGAGTGTTCATGGATGGTGGTTTCTCCCAGACTTCTACAGCCTTCGTTAGTGGAACGCACCAATTGGGATGTACAGCCTCTCGGGCCATTACGCGGGGCGCGATCAACTCTCGTCAAATTTCTTGAAACCGCTTGTGTCGGTTTTCTTTCCTCAATGTTGTTTCGGGTATCACAGTCATCTCACTGCTCTGACAAAATACGGGTGTGTCAACATTGAGAAGGTGACAGGATTATTTAGAACATTTAGGAATGATTTAAGGAGATTTTGCCTCTAATTCAAAGATTTGTGACGAGTATTGTACATTGGTAAGATTTCAAATGACGGATTTTCCCAATTGCTGCTCATAACCATCATGTTACAACGCCTGTGACATTTAAAATAAACTTTAAGTTTTATTTACATTTCGGTAAAGATAAAATTATTATAATCAGTATTAGTTGCAGGAAGTATTAACAGGAAAAAAGACATGCTGTTAAAAACTCTTTGAGCTTTGATCAGAGCTTCGGCAGAAGTCCTTGCATAAATATGGGTAATATTTATCACGATGAATCAGTCGTCTTCGAAGAGGTTTCGAACACATCGTCGAGCTAAGTCGGAGAACTGAGGCAGGTGAAGATCTAATTAATGGGAAGATGTAACCCTGTGATTATGCCATATATGCGCCTTATTTCGCAAGCCAGAAAGATTTGAGAAAATGTTATAATTGTTAATTCAAACATTTCTTTCTTCTATTTGCTGATTTTTTACGTTTTCTCGGTCACTCACAGACAATCGATATTTGTGACTAAAGGTAAAAAAATAGATTTGCCATGAGTTGTTGGAAAGAAATGGCGTCCACCACCCAGGGTGGGGGGGGGGGGGTACTCGATATATCCCTGAGTAGGGAGGTGCGGCGCGGCCCCTCATACCCTGACCCTGCTTAAGACAAATATCGCTGATTTTCCTCCCCTGTTTAAGACAGAATTCCGATTTTTGATACCCTGTTTAAGACATTTATCCTGTTTAAGACAAAAATTGATAAATCGATACCCTGATTAAGACAAAAATGATAAATTCGATACCCTTTTTAAGACAAAAATTGATAAATCGATACCCTGTTTAAGACAAAAATCCCGAAAAACATACCCTGGCTGGCCGCACGTCCCCATTAAGCCCTTATGAGGGAGTACCCCCCCCCCCCGGGTTCACCGTTTGTTTGTTACAGTAGCCCATGAGCCTGGTTGTATTGACGTTTAATGTTTAGATTCACAATCTAATTATAACTACTTTTATATAATTACAGGATGTGGTCCTTGAAAGTCCTCATCGCTCTCTGTACCCTCATACAGTGGGAAGGAAATGGTGTTCATGGATGGTGGTATCCCCCAGACTGCTACAACCTTCGTTTTCAGAACGCACCAAGTGGGATGTATTACATACAACCGCTCGGGGCAAACACCAAACCCAATCGTGTGTACTGCGAAATGACAATCGGTGGGGGTGGCTTCACCTTTCTTCCCCGCAGCCTTACAAGAACATCATCAGCGAGCAGGATTGTCAGAGCTTTATTTCGAGACAGGTACAATGTCCTGCTTAAGTTGAAGAAGAAAAGTGGTAGTGAGTCATACACTCTGATCCAGCCTCATCCGCATTTCCCCAACACAGGGTTTGGGGTGTTAGTCAACAGTTTCCATGGTTACACCAGACCGCTGAACGCCTTCATGAAAGAGTACATCTTTCTCAGTATTATTCCAGCATACGCTGCACGCCGTCGTAGTATCCAATCCCAACAGCTATTTTGCATTCATGCCAAACCACAATCTGCAAACTCCCAGTAACTATGGTGCTAGCTGGCATATCTTTGAAACAAGCCGCGTGGCGGTAGACTGGCGCTCCAAAGCAATTTCCATTCCTGGTCGCACCATGCCAAATGAGTTCTTCTTCTTGACAGAGCTGCATTTTGGAGGCTGTGGAACCTATACCTCCAGTAACCGTTGGCGCAAGTTTGGCTTTCACTCCACAGCCACTGGAATTCGCTAAGAGTTCGCTTTTCCCTTCTCACCTTTAGACTGCTAATTCCACGTAGCCACAAACTTCTGTTTTTGTGTTGACTTATTTTATGGTAAAACGTCTTAAATTTTTGCGTTTCAGTTTTCGCAACGATTTCAATAAAACGACCTTAAATTTCAAGTGCTCAGTACATTTCGGAAAGTTGGTCGGTTTCGGACTAGATGCAAATGTAAGTTAAATTAATGTCAGACAAAAACGGGCTATATAGTGTTTGTTGTAACTTAAAGAAACAGGTGGTAACAAAGAAAAATAAAAGTTGTTAAAATAGTGTTTGAACCTTCTACTTCTTGAAGACCCATTACAACAAAAATTCCGTTGATTAGCGACACACAACGGACGTCATTATCACTAGAACACAACAAATATTTGTGGGAGCATGCAGCAGTTTTGCGATTGTTTAGTCCGAATGCGCTCGCAAAAGTCAGTTTTCACCCAACGACCGCCAGTTAATTCTGTAAAATATCTCTTCGGTGAAGTAAACATAGCCTAGATTTTCGAAGCTTATCAAATAAATTAACTATTATTTTCTGAACTGAATTTTTCACATTTCACTCCCCAGGTTTAGCTATTATTGGTAGAAAAGGGAAATCGAAAATTTTCGGGATTCGCCGAAAATATGATGGAGAGAGGCATCAGAAAATTCTTACCTTCTTAAAGGGTTAAATTACATCATAAATTTTCGGGAAAATAATATGGATGCCCTTTTACTGCGCTTTTCACAAAAATGGGAATTCTGAAGTTCAAAAGCCAACTGACGATTGCGTTTTTCGCTGCCCTCAATCATCTTAACGGACCTTTAGGAAACAATACTTTACTTTAACGGGTTCAAAAGGTCATGGTTTGTGATTTGTGGTTGGTGGATTTCGATCCATTTTGTGTGTTTCTATGTTTCAAGGTTCGTTGCTTGTGGTCGTAATTATGATTGACGGCAGCGAAAAGCGCAATCGTGAAGGCGGCCTTTGAACTTTAGAGTTCGCATGTTTGTAAAAAGCGCAGTAAAGCTAGTCGCGAAACTACAACTAAAGGCCCATTAAAGAAAGCACACAACTATCTTTATTCAGTATCAGTGATGTATGTCTACACGAAATATATCTCGCTTTCTATAGGCTATTTCCGAGTTTCCCCGGGCCTCAGTATCAAAACGAGGTTTTGCACAGCCTTTGATATGGAAATGGTTGTCATTCTCACGCAAATAAAAGTTATTTCGACAAGAAAGGTTGCCCCCTACAGCACTTGGCCTCATTTGGAAAGTGAGGGTTTTCAGTTGTAACTCGGAAGTGGCCTATTCATGTAATACACGAGAGTGCCCTAGGATGACCGAACAGTTGCATATTTTATAGCGCTACGGCTTAGATTGCATTTCTAGATTTCTAGCTTAACGAGCGATGTCATGACAACCCGGCAGAAGATTATGACACCTATTTCCCCTTTATTTGACACGAAGAATGTTTATACTTTGAAGACACTTCTAACTATTAATAGTGACTAAGACCTTTCGAGATTGATTAAAATTAAACTTTGGACAATATTTATTTAAGCATCGACTTGTTCACTTTCAAATGACTTGCCACTTTTATTTTATTTCTTTTTCGACTCTTTTATAAAATTTTTCTTTATAGTATCCTATAAATTATCTCACATCAATTTATATCTAAGAAATTGCGTTCCTTTATTATTTTTTTATAATAAGTGCCTTCCCTAAATTTAATTTACCCTGATTGCATCAGTTCAAAACCGCGTGCCATGTTGAACAAAACAAAGAAAACAAGTTTCCCGTGACGTCATCCATGTGTCTGTACTCTGATAGATCATGGACAACGACCAATCACAGCGCGCGAAGCATTCACATCATTGTATAAAATATTAAATATTTACACACTAGCAGCAGCTTAGAATTTTTTTTTTAATTTTTCTATTATTATTATTAATACATGAAAATGTTTTGCCTTTTCTTGCGGAATTATTTGGGATGTAACCCTGAATAGAGCTTTACTGTGTTGTGAATGTCCCTCAATAGTCTTTCGTATTGTTTAAAATACTATTTTCTCAAATTTGTATAAATTTTGCACACACAACGGAATTAAGATGATTAACAAAATTGATTTGCGTTACCCCCATAGCCGTCTGCTGAATAAACGCTGGCGAAGGTAAATACACTAAGGTTATAAAAAGTTATTCAATCTGATTTAACTTAAAGTGGTAGTATCTATTACCCCGATAATAACAAACTAACTGAGGTAGTTTTGCGGCTAATGAGAAAATGACCTTAATAAGACGAGGAGGATTCAGTTCATTCAATTTTACCCGATTCAACCGGCTAAAGCACCCTTATTTAAGTTTTTCCTTTTTGATTCGATATTTTAATATTTTCTGTTTTCTCAACGGAAGGTTAGCAAATTTGCCTAACCTCACTGAATTGCCTTGTGCTCTAAACACTGTTGAGGGTAAATAAAGGTATTATTTAATTTAATTTAATCTGATTGTAAGTAAATATACTAAAAACATAGAAACAAATTAATAGCTGGGTAAAAAATGACATATACATCATTACTTAGTTTAACAGCAGCTTTTATATATGAACAACAGCCGGTAATTTCTGATGAATTTGGATTCCTTTTACTCCTTGACTGATACGTGTAATAAAAAAAGGTCACGTTAATGAGTAAAAAAGTTGCGAAAAAACTTTAAAAAGAACACAGACATGGATATATTGGTTAATTCTTGTTTCTAGTTATTCCAACAAAAACGTTTACCTTGAAAAGGATGAACGTCAATTCCTTATTTTAAATGAAATGTTTTAACAGCTGACACGGAACACATTATTAAGTGCCTCAAACTACTGCTGAGCCTCTAGTATTTAAAATCAATTTTTTTTTCTGCAGCTTTAGTTCAAATCACGTTTCAGCGTCCAAGCAACAAAAAGGTAGGTGATTCAGGGGCACCCAACGACTATTTTCTGTAAAACATCTGTTTGCGGGAGAAGAAAATATTGCCTAGAATTTTCTACAGCTTGAGGAAAGCTGAAAAATTTGTACATGACCGTTCCATTCGTGTACAATTTATGAAGTTTTTCCAACAAATTTCCTACGATTTTCTAAAGTTTTTAAACTTTATTTTCGCTTTCACTCCCCAGGTTAAGCTATTTTTGGTAGGAAAAGAAAACCTAAAATTTTCAAATTCGAAAATGCGATGGAAAGAGGGATCATAAAAATTCAATATTTCTTTCATAAAACTTTAAATTGCATCTATATAAAACGTTTGGGAAAGGAACAAGTTTCCCTAGGATGACCTAAAAGATGCAAATTTTAGAGCACCGCTTAGAATGCTTCTGAAAAGTACCCTCTGCATAGCCTAAAAAGTGTCAGTTTTCAATGCATTTCATGGTAGGAAACCGTCGCTGGGTGCCCCTCACTGGTGATCAGATATGTTTCATACTGGAGGATAAACTCTATTTGCAATAGAAACACACTACAGTTGAACCCCTCCTCTCCAAAACGGCCAAAATGGCACCTCAGGGACAGAAGAGTGTATCCGTTGAAGAGAGGTTTAAACAGGAGTCAATTTATCGACTGTCCGCCCAAAAAGGTGGCCGTTGAAGAGAGGTTGCCCTTTCTGGAGTCAGGTGGCCGTCGGTGGAGATTCGACTGTATAACCGCGTCGAAAAATTTATCCCGATTTCAATCCCAGAAGGTCCCACAAGCTAAGGGGCACTTTGACTACGAGTAGTCCCCATTTTTCCTCAGGGATAGTAGAGCGAGCGAAACGCGAAAGCGCGTGAAAATTACCCCACGCGAGAAAAGGCGACAAGCGTGGGGTGATTTTCACGCGCGCTCGCGTTTCGATCGCTCTACTATCCCTGAGGGAAAATGGGGACTACTCGTAGTCTAGGGGCACTTTGACTCATTTTAGCGCTTTATAACGTCCAAAGTTTGGAATAGGCCTTTTCAAAATATTGTTTACTTCTTTCAAAAGGACCGCGCGGAACAAGTCTTCAATTGCCGTGTAGACTTACAGCAAGTATGCACTCCTTCGGAATATCGCTTTTCTTTCCTTTTTTGGTCGTTCGTGACTAAGAAAATGTGTTAAGTGATTTTTAACCAGGATCGCATTGGTTGTTTACCATTTACATGGGCACTGATCGGTCATTTCAAGGACCGGTAAATTTCGTCTTGGAATCACGTTTATCAAAGATGGATTTCAAGAAATGGAACACGCCGAATTTCCGATTTGAAAATGCGTTAAGTGACTTCTAACCAGGATCGCATTGGTTTTTAAACATTTACATGGTAGGGGCACCCAACGAGGATGTAGTTCAAAACCACTTAACATAGCATTGTTTAACGTATTTTAGTATTCAAACGGTAGATATAGGCATATTTTTATCCCCTAAAAACTTTTCATCTGTTCGGATTTCCTAGCTGCAAGTCTAGTGATCCGAAAATTATAGGGATAAAAACTTGCCTTCTCGAAAATTTCAGCCAGGAAAAGGCTCCCGAAAATTCTAGGTGGCCTTTTTAGGGTCACAATCCGTTAAAAATGGGTAATTATACCATTTTGTAGATGTTCGAAAATCCTAGGAGAGGCAGGCAAGCAAGAAATTTTACAACAAATGCTCCGAAAATTCTAGATCTCAAATCGTCTTCCGAACAGATATTTTCCCGAAAATTGCCGTTGGGTGCCCCTGACATGGGCAAACCGGTCGAGTCATAACCTGCGATGAGTCGTTTTTGGACTGCCTGATGGCAGACGTTAGTGGATTCACGGACTGGTAAATTTCGTCCCGAATCACGTTTACCCATTTTACAAATCAGTTTCATTTACCGAAAAACAGCGGAAAGGTAAACCGGTATCAAACGGATGGCTTTCAAGAAATGGAGCACGAATTTCCGATTGGAACATTCCGTTCGAAAAAACTGGACTTCCTATACAGATGTTCCGTTGTTTCGGGGAAATTTTTTCGGAAATCTTCCGCTGAACGACTCAAAACGAGTTGTGTACCATTTATTTTCCTACTGGATTTTCCAGAATTTTTTTGGAAATAGTAAACAATCATTATCTTAAATGAATTTCACCTATTGGAACTGTCGAACTTTTTTTTTAATTGCAGATGATGTCACGTTTGAGTTTCCTGTTCCTATTCCTGTGTGTTGTAATACAGCAGGAGGCAATTGGTGTTAATGGGTGCTGCGGCTGCGATGAGGTAATTTAAAGGTTTCAAAACACTCTTGGCAAATATCAATAATCAAAATACATACTTCCTTTTGCAAATCAATCCGTTAGAGCGACGTATGACCCTGAAAAATGGTTTGGGGGAGGGTCCGTTATTAGTTTTATCAGTCAAGCATGAAAAGATCAAAACATTAGACTACGAGTAGTCCCCCATTTTTCTTCGGGGATAGTAGAGCGACGCCTTCTCTCGCGTGGGGTAATTTTCACGCGCCCTCGCGTTTCGCTCGCTCTACTATCCCTGAGGAAAAAATGCGGGACTACTCGTAGTCTATCAAAACATGGACACTTCGTTTGCTTTCATTATGCCAAAATTTCCGGAATTTTCGAACCAAACCTAAATGGAACGGTTCGGCCCAGTTCTAAATTTTCCGTTCAAAGCGGTCCACCTCCAGAGGTGGTCCTGGATGGAACTAACCTTAACTGCATTAATCAAGACAATAATATTACATTGGGGGAGGGGTAGCAGTTCTGATGATAAACAACTCGAAACTCAGCAAAAGTCAAGCAAATTCAAAATGCACCAGCTCCCCCTCCCTCTTTCCATGTAACTATTGATCTACTTAGTACTGTACACTATTAGGTTATTCTAATCTAACTGGCAGCCAATTTTTTTATATACAAGAACAATTTTCATTTTCAGGCTGAGCGAGTTCTTATATATATATATGGTACTTTTTTGACCAAATTTCAGCCTAAACCTTCTTAATCCACTTGTCCTTTTATCCGGGTTTTTACTGTATATTACTGGCTTCTCCGAATGTTGACGATGTTTCCCGCGTTTTTCTCTTAGCAGTATGTGACCTTAGCCCTTACGACAATCCAACAATCAGTTCGGTCGGAGTTTTGGTTCTTACGCTTTCCATTTTCCCTTCGTTAGTCCGAGCGGTCTCTGACTGGTTGGTCCGATATAATCGGGAAAGCACCCTTCGTTTTCCCGCCAAAGAAAACCCTAATATGAAGAAGGCATTATTTGATTGGCCAATGGTGTTACAGTATGATGTCAAAACTAAGTATCGATTGATTTCTAGAGAAGTTCTTGGGCATGAATTTTTTTTTCACCAGAGCGTTCGCTTAACTAACCAAAAGCCGCGGCCGGTGTTTATATCCGTTCGATAAACCAATCAAATCGCTCTATTTCCATTCATTTGTTGTTTCTATTTTATTCGCGCGTTTTCATTTAAAGGTCATAAGAAAATCGCGCTATCATTGTCATCATTCTTTCCACTTCTTTCTGATTCCCATGTAAGGTAAATCAAGTCTTGGATTCTGGATTCCACGCTGTGGATTCCAGATTCAAGGTACTGGATTCCGGATTCTTCATCGTTAGTGGAACTTGGATTCCGGACTCCTATCATTAACGCGATTCCGGATTCCTTAAGCTAATTTCAGGATTCGAAAGCCTGGGATTTCACATTCCACAAGCAAAAATTTCCGTATTCCGGAATCCGGATTAACGTACCTTACGTCTGGCAATTTTGAACCCATATTAACAATTCGACTTGAAGACAAGTACACATTACTAACCGTCAGTTGTCTTTTGTCAGTTTCCTAAAGACTGCTTCAGTCTTCCACCGAACTCACCAAGTGGTGTGTATAAGATACAGGCCCTGGTCGACGAAGAGCCTTTTGATGTTTACTGCGAGAAGGCAATTCATGGTGGAGGCTTCACCTTTCTTCCTCGTGGCTTCACTAGATTACCATATGCACAAAACATCGTCAAAGTTTTATTTCGAGACAAGAAGAACGTACTACTTAAATTGCAGAAAAAGGTTGATCGTAGCGAGGCATACACCCTGATCCAGCCTCATCCGTCGTTTGCGAACACAGAGTTTGGTGTGTTAATCAACAGCTTCCAGGGTTACACCACGCCACTGAACGCCTTCATGAAAGAGTACATCTTCCTCGGTATTATTCCTGCATCAGCTGCACGCCACCGAAGTGTTCAAGGCTTCAGATCCAATGGGCACACAGTCCAGTTTACAAATTGCGATGCCAATCCAAACAGCTATTTCGCATTCATGCCAAACCACAATCTGCAAACTCCCAGTAACTATGGTGCTAGCTGGCATATCTTTGAAACAAGCCGCGTGGCGGTAGACTGGCGCTCCAAGGCAATTCCCATCACCCATCCTGATCGCACCATGCCAAACGAATTCTTCTTCTTGACGGAGCTGCATTTTGGAGGCTGTGGAACCTACACCTCCAGTAACCGATGGAGCAAGTTTGGCTTTCATGCAACCGCCATTGGAATTCGCTAAGTCCCTGTTTTCCCTTTTTTAATTTCCCGTCTTTAGATTAGTTGCAGCCTGGTCAGTATTGTAACAAACTTCCCTTATTGTTCTAAATCAAGTTATATAGGATAAGCTTTTATTGAAAAGCCTAGATAATACCTTTCTGGTCTTCTTATTGTAGTAATGACGGATAAACAACTTCAAGGAACTTTGAGTTTCTAGAATAAACTGCTGATTTTTAAAAATTTACTGTCAATTCTGCCTTTCTAAGGTTGAGCCGATCATACCTGCTGACCGTTTAAAATTAGTTTTAAAGTTAAATTTACATTAGCAAAACAGGTAAGTTCTAGTATTAATTGTAACCGTATTAAAAAAGGCGGGAGAAGAAAAAAAAATAAAGTGTCATTAACGATCATGGAGATAAGCCTTAGTTGTCCTTTTTGTTTTATTGTGCTTTGCCCCTATTCGTATAATTTGAAGTTAAAACGAGGAAACAATGAAGTTTATCAAAAAAGATCTGCTTGTTGGTAAAAATGAAGAAAACCATGGTCTGAGTTAAATCTATGGGTACAGCCTAGTAAGAACAGCCGACCTCGAGACTGTTCATACTTGGTTGCCGGAACCGATGTTGCTTTCTTCCGTTTTTATAAATTCCAAGGGATTTCAATAAAAACTGAAGTAGCAAGCTAGCCTGTTCCAGGCTTCAAGATGTGCAGAGGTCGCGAAAAATGAGGCAGAAGATTGCGAGGGTTGGGCAGAGAGAAGGACGCCCCCTTTCTCAGATCAAGCGCGTCTTATTTCCCTCGGGACGCGGACTAAGTTCGCAACGTCCCTTATACAGCTATTTCAAGAAAGGTTTTCGGAAAAAATGGCACATGATAATCCCAAAAGGTAATATGGGATATGATCAATACACTGTTCCTGACACTGTAGCAGTCGAATCTTCTTCCGATGCTTCCCTTTAGCACTCGCTAACATTCGTCCACGCCCTAGCCTCCCACCCAGGCGTTTTTAGGGGAGCTTGTATTTCGTCCCTCCCGACAAACGCCCGCTCAACCGAGAACAACATTCCTTTCCCGCGTGGTAAGTGACCAATCAACAGTTTTGAAATTAAGTGTTGACAGGCTAAACACGACTCATAACCTCGTTAGTGTAATTACGTGACCCCAGGATGAGGACGGTATGACTCGGCACTGGTAGAATAATCTTGGATTTGACTTCCAGTTTGAAATAAGTTTTGAAAAGAGAGACGTAAAATTTCATTGTGGCACATGTACATGAAGGATATGATCCGACCTGAAATGAAGGCAAATAAGGGAGAAAAATGGGACAGAAGGAAATGCCCAGTCTAGTGCTTGAGATATTTGAATTTCACCAAAGTTCTTTTTAGACCAATTAAAATTAATCGGAAGCTGGTTTCCAGAGAGAGCCGCAAACTTTAATTTAGTGTTGTCAAGAGGGAATCAAACAGTCGCCATCACGATATCTGCATTGTTTTCTCAGAGGCAGTCGCGCGTGAACTTGATGACGTTTCATGACGTTTCAGACAATCGATAATAATTTGCCGACGTTGAATGATTTTCCAGTAACCGGATACTCGTGTTTTGCGCACAGGATTTTGGGATCGCCAGGGGGCAAACATTGCGAGTCGCTATAAAGAAATGTATAACGTGGAGTTGTTTCTCCGTTAAAAGCAGTGTCTATGGACATAGAATGCCGCACTTTGCCATGATTTTATGAGAAACGGAGGTGACTAATGTTGGTGCGTTGAAATTTCAAGTTTCTGTGTGATTAATGCGATAAATTCTATCGATAAACACTCCTTGCGTGAGGTTGAGTGTGAAATTTATGTTTACTGAATTTACACAGTGATCTACATGAAATAAAGGGCTCGAAATATATAGTGCAAACTTAGGTATACATGTAGGGGGATTGGCTCATTTAAGCTTTTTAGTTTTAATTACGTGTGGTGATATTAACAACGAGTGTAACTATGCTCGGCCGCGATCAGCTCTGTGCGGGTTATGACGGTCAACAATCGTAGGACGTGGCCATAAAAATAAAAAATCCTCCTTTACTTTGGTATAAAGGAACATCTACGAAATATTTCATGAAAAGTACATGGTGTTTAACCATTAGTAGATGACGCAGAAATCGTACGAACGAGTAAGATTTCCGATACAAAAGCAGTGGGCCGTGTAAATAAATACCAAGTTGATGTGCGAAATTCAGAGATTCTATATCTTCCCTCAAAATGATCAGAAAAGGCATTAGAACTGATTGGTGCTCTGGATCATGACAAAACATTTCGCTTGTGTTTTTTGGCTAGAAGGAATCAATATATTAATGTGGGGAAGATGTTTTGCTTTTAAAGTTAATACATATCAAATTCGACAATACATAAGCTTACCTTCGATCGTTGTCACAAACTGCCTCAGCGTTGTGATCGCCGCCGAGCCGAACGTAATTACACTCGTTGTAAATATCAGCACATGTACTTACAACTGGAAAGGCTTAATAAATGAGTCCACATTCCCCGCTCACTTATACCTGGTAAGTTAGTACCATATATTTCGAGACGATTCAGTAAATTTCACAGTCAACCTTTCGCAAGAAGGAGCGTTTATCGATAGATTTCATCGCACTGATCCCACAAAAACTTACAATCAACGCACCAACATTAGTCACCTCCGCTTCTCATAAAATCACGGCAAAATGCGGCATTCTCTGTCCAAAGACATTGGTTTTAAACGGAGAAACAGCTCCACGCCATACATTTCTTTGCAGCGATGTCCAATGTTTGCCCCCTGGCGATCCCATAATCCTGTGCGCATAACTAAGTCTCCGATTACTCGGGCCTCTGTATCAAAACGAGGTTAAGTGTTCATCCTTTGATATGGAAATGAAATGATTTTTCATTCTCTTGAAAAAACTCATTTTCACAAGAAAGTTTGTGCACTTGGCCTCATAGTGAAAGTGAGGGGTTTTGAAACTCGGAAGTGGCCTATTAGCATAGAAATCGATTTTGGTTCGAGTTAGCGCGAGGTTCGAGTTAAGGGTTCGAGTTGCAGGTTGGGAGAAACGAAACAGAAACGAAAGTAAGGGAAAGAAGGGAAAGAATGGGTGGATATATCCCATCATGCCTTGGCACGTCTTAGCACTTCACTTCATTATACATGTCGTTGTAAACATGAGTTGAAATCACTCGGATACAACTGGACTGTTTGAGTGTTTTTCCGAACGAAGCGACGCTGCGACTTATATGCTATGTTGACTATTGTTGAAGATCTTCCAGGATAGCAACAATAGCTGTTTTACTGAAGGTATGGAAAGTCTCAGCTCAGTCGATACTCGCATATATTGAGCTTAGTAGTCAAGTGAGCTTGAGGTCATGTTTATATATAATGCAAAGTCTTTGTGTAGCTATTCCGTAATTTAAGTTCCCTTTTTGTTGGAGGGCAAATCTCTTGAAGTCCTTGTTGATTATGAAATAACGAAATGTCGTATTTTCAGTTCGTCGTACAACGGTTTTCTACCAAGACAGCTTCCACGTCATTTAACGTCAACTGTCTGTCCCTCGACAGATCATTCGACAATTTAATGGTGTTGCTGTAACAGTTTTCTGCAAAATTTCCCACATTTCCGTAGCTTGTTTTGTGTGTGTGTGTGTGTATTCTTTTTTATATTTTAGCAGAGGTTATGCATCTGTCTAAACCGTTTTTTTCTGATCCGCTATATATCTTAAACATTTGCCAATCTACTTCCGGTTTCACTTTCAGTGGTCTCTTCCCCGATCCCCGTCAGCGCTATATTTCGCACGTTTCATCCCACGTTTCATCCCAGTGACCTATTTGTGAAGCGTTTTATTCTTTTGTTGTTTTACTGACACAACCAGTCGGTTTTTTACATTAAACTGGGAGTAAATGTGTTTCATTGTGAATGTGAGCAGAAAATGTTACTGGTATCGAGATTAATGTTTTTGAAATACGGAAATATTCTGGGGCGAACTGTTTCTCGAAAGTCCCAGTAACTTCTCAGGCGTGAAATCAAATATTCAAGTCAAACTACACAGATTAAAAGCGTGGGTCCTAGTGAACAAACCAGTCCATTTTGTTTTGATAACTGATAGCTTGAATTTAGTGTGTTATCTGTAAAACTGTTGGAACCTTCATCTCTAATATACGCAACAGCAGTTTTCAGACTTTTGAATTGATTATTCAGCCCCTGGGCCAGGTATTTCAAACATGATTTGGGCAAATCTAGGATGAGGTCATTACCATGGCAACTAATGTGATGTATGTTACATACATGTACATACATGTCCACCTTGATTTCAGGTTCATTTTGATTTAACCTACTTCAATTTTCAATTATTTCCATTGCCTCCTGACCCTAAGAAACAAAGGAAATTATTGAGAATCAACCAAGAATACAACAAAATATACCTGTCTGAAATCAAATGTGACCTGTGATATTAGTATACTATGTTTCTACCAGACCCTAGTCAAATAAAAGAGTCAGTGTTGTTACTTAACCCATTCACCCCCTGGGAATTTTGCTGAAAAACATGTTTTGAAGCTATTCCAGTGATTTTCTAGTCACTGTCTGGCTATAAAGAGGTAAAACTTACCACAAAGTTATTTACAGGTTGTACACTTTGCAGCCTTCTAATCCAGATGCAAAGTATTCGCTTAAATTTGGGCATGTACAGGAAGCAAAATTTCGAGATGTGAAAATGTGACGTGCACAGCAGTCTTGAATTTTTCTTTTGAGTTTCTCTCCTGCCCTCTTCTTTCACTTTTTTTTTGTACCATTTTTTTATTTTGCTGGGCATTTAGTGAGCTTCATTTTGGTGGGGAAAGTTTAAAGCTTTTAGGATTAGAAGAAAGGAAAGGTAAATAAATGGAACTAGGGTAGATTTTAATGGAAATTTTAGGGTCAATGTTATATGGTTTTTTGCCTTTTTCTCCATCCTCCTTGACTGAATTGTTCTCATTGTGGTATGGTTTGAAAGATCCTTTCACCCTGCACAAGTTAGCGGACAAAGTTGTCCTTGACTGTCAAAACTGATGACGTCACAAATGGTAGAAGGGGCATGGATCCTCATGGGCATTTGTTATGGGTGGTACAGAGGGGGATGGGATAAGGCACTGATGCCAAACATTCGTTGAAAATCAAACAGTGATGTGCTTCAACCAATGAAAGAAAATCTTGACCAACATGCAAATTTTGTGTGTTGATCAATGGGCACTAGTGACCACGTTCGTGCACACCCTCTGGTATGCCAGGAAGTTATATTTACTTTATTGTCCATTGTGTTGCAATGGCCTCACTGAAGTGGAAGTGATAGAAATTGGCTACAACAAGAAAGCTGGGGGCCTGGTTCAAGCCCCAGGAGGAACATATTTTTCCATTTTGCTTTTCCCTCCACCTGTCTCATTTTTCTCTCTTTTTAATTATTCCAGTACCTGTTTTATTGTTGAAATTTCTTGAAGCCTGAAACAAAAACTTCTCCAGTGGTTGAAAAACAAATTGAGTAAGGTATAAGTAGAGTACTGTTAAACATTACAGGGCTGCCATTACGATTTGAAGCTGCTGGGTATATAAATGCCTACATGTAGGTCCATGGGGTATTGAGCAGCTGCAAGGAAGTTCTTTTAAGTTTTCTTTTCTTTTTTTTGTTCCTTCAAAAGCAGACGGGCCAAGCTTGTTGAGTTTTGGTGGCTGCAAATTGACCTAATTTTTGTTTTGTGTTTGTATGGTCCTAATGAACATGCTTTGTCAAGCTTGATCAGTAATTTGTACACGGTGTGTCAATAAAGTGTACCCCTTGGTCAATAGTGTGTACCACATTTATATGAAATAAGGAGTGCTTTTAACTACTACTAACAACAACAACAACAAATTTTATTGAAAATTAGATAATATAACTAATTACATGAACATGCTTTGTCAAGCTTAATCAGTAATGTGTCAATGTTGGCCAATAAAGCATACCGCTTGGTCAATAGTGCATACCATATTCACATAAAATAAGGAATGCCTTTAACTACTACTACTAACAACAACAACAACAACGTTTATTGAAAACAAGATATATAACTAATTACATTACTTTCCCAGGCCCGCAAATAGCTTATGAACTAATCAAGGCAGGGTTGTTGCTGAAGACATATTACAAGTATAAGTTTTATCTTTAGATTGACTAAAACAATAGCCATAAACACACCACAGTACAATAAATAACAATTATGAAGAGAGGCTAACCTAATGTATTAAATAATCTAATAAGACGGGAGACTTTGACATAATCATCCTTAGCCTGTGAGCAAGCTCTTCGGAGCGCTCTGGTGGTGACGCAGAAAAAAGAAGGAGAACTTGTGACTACGTCTCTGGAATTTGAATATCTGCATTGAAAAAGTCAATGCAAAATGCTGATTGGTAGAGATGACATTAGTAATGACGTCATTACCCTTGGCACGTGTTTTTCAATGTTTGTTTACATCCGAGCTCATTTCTGCTTTGTGATAATTAGTGGAAATCTGACAGCTTAGTTGACGGGGAGCTACATGGAAATTGGATGGAATTCAAATGACAGAGATGTAGTTGCAAGCTGTCCTTCCTTTTCCCGCCCCGCGGCCAGAGCGCCCCGAAGAGCTTGCTCACAGGCTAAATCATCCTCTGACAGCAAGAAATTTAGTAAATAATTCCTTTATCTTTTTATGAAGAGACAAACTACTATAGACCTTAAAGGCTGAACGTGTGTGAATTATCTCTTTTAGACTGTGAAACTGGCAAGTCCTTAAGAGAAGAGTATCATGAACAAGGCCAAGAGTATTCTTGTCACGTTATACCGGGAATATCACTTAAATGATGAAGCTAGTAGGACAGAGAAATCTGAACAAGAGTTCCAGCTTCTCAAACAAGGAAGAGAATACTTGTGCTCCGAGTTTGTGAAACCAAAGGACAGATTTCTCATCCTCCATATACTAGATTTTTATAAAAGCATTCTGCTAAAGATTGCTAAATGTGATGACTTTGAAAAACGAGAGGGAAGTACTGCCTTAAGTAGTTTGATGACTGGATTTCACAGCTTAGAGAAGTATGCAGTTAACTTGTGGAAGTTTCCTTGGCGTAAAGAGTACCACACTATTAAGGTAGGTTTTTGTATAGAATAAAATATTAATGTTATGTGGTTACGTAAGATGTAAAATACATTTTGGATGATAAGCTCCATGCCTGCCACCTGAGAAAATAATGGTTATCGTTATATAGCTGGAAATTTTTTCCCAACAGTGTGTGCTCTCATTGGTTACTTTGAGGTCACATGACATCTAAGAATGAAACTGTTTCTCGCCAAAATCTCTTAGCAGGCAATATTGCAAAATCCATGATGTCAGAGGGTAATTGTGCACTGTTACCTGCAAGTGTTTACCAAGACTGCTGTTACAGCGAGGTTTAATGAATTTCCAGCTTCAAAATTTCCAGCTATATAACAAATCACTTAAAAAAGACTGGTCCCTCAGGAAACAGTTAATTTCCTTTTCCTCTAATCTCACTGTTTTCCTCGGCTTCACCTCAGGAAACATTGAGATTCTCAGGAAACAAAATTAACTGTCTGCCTCGGGACAAGTCATTAAGTGTTAAATTTATCACTCTATTTCAATACCATGGTCCCATCAGGGGTACTTTTGGAATCAACTCATGCGTAAGTGAATAACCCGTAAAACCCATACCTCATGCATGCTTAAGTGAATAAGAGTGACCAACATTAATTTTCTTCAATACATATTGTTACATCATCAAGGGAAAAGATTATGGGAAGTAATAAAACAGTCACCAAAGGGCAAATGCTTAAATCTTGTATCAAATTCTCTCATTATTCTTTTACAAGGATCCATATTAGTATTTTTCAAAGTCGTCAGTTGGGCAAGTATGTCTAGAAATATAATTGCCCTGTTAGATTTTACTTGCCCATTATGGACTCATTTAAGGAGGTTATTATTTTAAATGCGGGGGTTCTTTAGGTTTGAAACTTCGCAGTGAGAATTCCACTTGTCCTCAGAGAATTTGAGGATTTTTTATGGATCTTGATCAGCTTGAAATGCAGCACTCTACAAATACGAGTTTGGAAGCTTCTTGACAAACTTTGCAGTTAAGGTCTTGGATTTCAAGTTGAAAAATCTCAAAAGTTAGTCATCTTTTGGATGCGTTTTTGTGTCATCATACTAATCTGAACAATGTTATGGTCGACTCAGACGACCTGATGATCAATAATATGGATCCTTGCTTTTAGGAACGTACAGTAAAACCTTGATTTAACCAAGGGGCAGCGGGGAAATTTGTTTGTAATATTGTTGGTTTGTTATATCGAAAACCTCAATTTAACTAGATTTTTGGGAAATCAAGCAAAATGTTTGTTATATCGAGGAATACTTAATGATTAATCTCCAACGCCTAGCGTTTCCAGGTCTGACCAATTTCTGTAATAGACATTTGTATTCAAAGCTGTTGTCTTAGTTCAGAGTTGTACATAGCTGTGGCACTAGAAACACAAGAACTGGCCAACAAAACTGCTTTAAAAAGAAGTGCACATAGATGTTATCTTTGTTGGTCTCTTTTGCATTCATCTTTAGCTATCTTTCGGTCACATAACAACATTTATTTGTTATATGGAGGTATATTTTACATTTGCGTTTCTGGATTGTGTTCATTGTAATGAGGATTTTGTTAAATTGAGGTTTTGCTCCATACATTTTACTGTAATTTTGGCCGGGCTGAAGAAAATGGTTCGTTATACCGAGGACTTCGTTCCGTAGAGGTTCGTTAAATTGAGGTTCATTAAATCAAGGATTCACTGTATTGAGATCAGTTTCGAGAATTTGTATGTGGATGTTGGGGCTCAAAGGGATAAGGCAGTTTTCATTTGATCGTTAAAGTATTTTTTTTTCTTAATTAAGTTGGATTTCCTTATGATATGATCTGCTAAGTTAAGTACAAGTACTGCTAAGTATGATCTGCTAAGTAAAAACCCACTCCTGTTACACCCAAGAGTATTTTCTCCATCTTGAGCTGGTATCATGCAATGATAATGCTTGGTGCTGATTGGCTTACTGGTTGGATTTGTCTGCATGTTGTGATAGGAAGTGATAGGCTAGGTTAAAATACTTATAGTGCTCAATTGAAACCAGCTCAAGACTTTTTCTATAGTTCTGTGGTATATTATGATTCAAGTTGACTAAGAGAGTTTTGATTACTGCGCCTAGGATAGGTGCAAACATCTAGCCAAAAATATCTTACATCCATGAGTCAATTGTGGGAACTTATCCTGAATTTGGCTAGGTCCATCAAATAAATTAGCATGGTAAAATTTTTCCAAATTAATTTAGGTAAATACCAGGGGGATATTCCACACATGTCCAATACTCTCGACCAGATTCCAGTGGACAAAACCTGGAGTCCGACGGAGTCTAGTCGAAAAATGAAACCGGAAGTTCAGTAGAGTCCACTTGAGTTACCGGAAGTTTAGTCATGACATGAAACCGGAAGTGTAAACAATACTTAGAGGAGGGTTGGAAAGTCGTCCGATGGAGTCCATCGGATCCATTGGAAACACATCGATTCCGATGGAATCTCAGGAAGTCTAGTCGTGCCATGAGTCAAAACAAGCACACTGCACGTGTAACATAACTCGTTCTTTAAGCCCTAAGTCGAGAATGACAAGCCTAACAGGCAACAGAGCCCGTTCTTAAAGCCATGAGTCGAAACAAGCACGGACGTCGGTACACATAAGTCGTTCTTAAAGCGATGAGTCAAAACAAGCACGCTACACAAAAATAATAACTCGTTCTTAAAGCAATGAGCGGAAACGAGCATGCTACGCGAATGGCATAACGCGTTCTTAAACCCACGTGTCGAAACAAGCACGGTACCCACCTAAGTGTCCAATGCATCCAAACACTTGGTAGGACTTTACACCACGAGACTTCCGGTTTTCCGATGGAAAGCAAGAGGATACGACTGGATTCTGGTCGACAGTATTGGACAACCCTCGGATATTTTGGTGGCCCGGGTCAACACAAAACTCTAATGTCAAAATTTTAGTTGTCAGTTGTTATCCCCATACATCAGTTAAAAAGGATTTGACATCTCAGTAATAGACCCTTCCTTCAAGTCAATAACAATTTGCAGAAAGGTTTTACTGAAACTCCCGTTGAGGACGTAGACCTTTCTAAAACGCAGCCGTACAAGTACTTTGTCTATATGGACCAAGGAAATCCAAGCCAAGAGTGAAGAGTGAACTATGCAAACAGCCATAAACTGTGACACTTTCTGACTGCAATCATTTGGCTCACGTAATAGTTCTTTGGCAAATAAAAAAAATTATATGTTACTGTACCGTTTTTGCTCTGTTTTACTTCGTATTTGAGGGCAATGTCCAAGTACAAGGTCCCGGGGGCTTATATTCGGAGGGGCGATTATACGGAGGGTTTTTTTTGCGTTACGAGTTTGGGCGGGGGGGGCTTATCTTTGGAGGGGTTTATTTTCGGAATTTTACGGTACAGCATCTCAAAGTCGCAAAATTTTACAGACGTTTATAAGGGGGGGGGGGGGCACAAACTTTCTCCCCACCATGCAAGCGTCTGTAAATTTTCGCAACTTTGCATGGCCATATCTTCGCTTGCTTAAGACGCATCACTTTCCAATTTGGCAGCTTGACTAATTTCAAGGTGCTCTTTCCAGTGGTGTTGAAAACAGCGTGGAAGGGTCTATTCAGTGATTCGTCAGCTTGGTAAATATGATTGGCTTCCGATATGTAAAAGACTTGCACCTTACTGTGCCTCACCTAATCTGATGGACAGACGTGGGTTATTATATATTGGGACTGTAACCTTGACCATTAACTATACATAAGAAATTTTTCTTTCTCTTTTTCCGTTGTTAGCTGTACACCGCTTTCTTTAAGAAAAATATTCAGGAAAAACTGCAGGACACGGACGCTATCCTTTCTATCTTAAAATCTCTTGGCTACGAAAAGACGCTGGATGAAGACCAAGTTCAAGTGAAAGAATCAGTCGATGCAGACCGTGTTCTGTGGGTTTCTGTAGACCTCTTTCTAGTTCAACTTGATTTACAGATTATCAAGGAAATCATGGAAAATTTAACTGATGACCAATTCTCTCTGAGAGACGTTATCAGGGCGCGGGCTAAAACATGCAATGTAAAGGAAGCTTGCCAGGCTCTCTCCGCTGCAGCGGCCAAGCGAGTAAAAATTGAAAAGGCACAAGACAGCGAAACTTCTTCTAAGAGGCAGCTCATGCCAACAAAGATACACGTAACAGCTTATGCTGTTTCAAGTGCCGATTCACAATCCAAGAATTTTGATCTGTCAGCTGCTACGGACAACACAGCAATGGATACTGACGAGACGACGTTGGCTGTAACTGAAGGAATCATGTCAGTTTCGTCTAGGCCTTCTCCCTCCAGTATGCACCCGGCACCATTTTCGGATGTGACTGATCGAGATTTGTACGGTGCACACACTGAGGAAAACCATCTTCGGACAAAACAAGATCGTTTCGTTGCACCTCACAATACATCAGAGCGAATTTGGCATCTGTCTAAATTTGATACTAAACGTAGGGTGGATACAGCGGAGTTAACCTCTCAGTCACTTCCCTACCTGGGTACCACAACATCGCCATTACCTTCGACCAGGATCTCAACTGATACTCATATAGCTTATACCGACACAAGCACAAGGACTGGAGGACAAGTGCAAGGGTCTAAGTACATTGGCCTGCGAGACATAAGTGGTTCAGCCAGTCACCAGGTGGCATCTAACGAATCGTTTCAATCTCATCAACCAAAAGAGACTGCATCTCAGCATAAGAACTCGACTTCCGTGGAAGATCGAAAACAATTATCCGCCACTGAGCGGATGGAAGTGGAAACACACGAGTCAAGAGCAAATCGCGTAGAGAATTTTGGTTCTTATTCGAAAAAAATGGCTGAAGGAGTATACGCCAGACCTGAAGCTCAGCCTGGTGTTTCTGAATACGGCCACCGGTCTTCACGTTTAAACGAAGTTACTGGAGGAGCATATTCCACACCCAAAGCTCCGTCTGGTGATTCTGATTACAGTCGTGCACACTATCTGTCTTCTCGGCCAAACGAATTCACTGGAGGAGCATATACCGGAGCTGGAGCTCAGCCTGGTGTTTCTGAATGCAGCCACCGGTCTTCTCGGTCAAACGAGTTCACTGGAGGAGCATATGCCGGAGGTGAAGGTCAGCCTGGTGTTTCTGAATACGACCGTCGGTCTTCTCGATCAAACGAATTTACTGGAGGGGCATATGCCTTATCCAAAGTTCACCCTGGTGTTTCTGATTTAGACAAGAATCTGCTCCATCACTTGACTCTCGAGAACGGCACTTCTAAAAAAGCAACTGTACAAAGCAGCAGCACTAAGGCAGCTACTTCCAATGGAGCTGGGACCACAAGAGTAGAATATGTACCTGGTAGAGACAATGCAGTAGTGTCCCAATCAAATTGGTCGCCCCTGACAAATGTTGGCACTGGGTTTGGCACCGGTACACGTCCAGTCGATGGTCGTGGTTATTCTTTGTACAATAGGGAAGAAAACGGCTTACCCAATGACGTCAGACAGAACACCCATTTGTCCACAGGCAGCAGTGCCACCCGATTACCTCAGGATCGGGGAAAGTCAGATGAAAAATTTCGGGAGTTCAAATCGAAAAGGGATGATTATTCTGAAAGATCTCGAAAGGATCATGTTCATGAAGCTGAAGCTTTGTCGGTAAAGAAGGATCGACAATCTTCTTATGGGGCAGGGAAGACAAGCAATCGCAGTTCAGGGGATACAGCTGCAAGATGTAGCCATTGTATGCAGAAAGGGGAGCTCATCTGCAAAAACTGCCTTTCGATTATCTGTAAATCATGCGAGGAAATCTGGAAAACTGATCTCTGTAGAGTAACCAAAAGTGAGCATGTCTTTAAGGAATTAAAAGATGAAGGCGGAAGCAAGAAAACGGAAAATTCAAGCGATGCTGTTTACGAAGGACAGGAATGGTCATGTTCCCGATGTACTTTCCTAAATCAACAGGAGCATAAAAGATGTGTCATGTGTGGTACAACTTGTGGCGTCGGCGATGTGGAGCAATCGAAACCTGGCAGTAAAGTGTGCGGGAATTGCACTTTTCACAACGAAGAGGATGCAAAAGTGTGTAAAGCGTGTTGCAAGACTTTGGACAAACCAGAAACAGTTGTGTAGGAAACTGTTAAACAGCTCAGAAAAGTGGTCACCGGAATCATTGAATGTACGTGAAGTATTTGTTTGGAGTGCTTTTTTAACAAGTACTATACCGGTAAAGAATGAATTAAGCTGACGGTGTGGTGCAGTGCGGTCTGACTCAAGTGAACACAGGTTATTTGTGACTTGTCTTCATGACCGTTTTGGGACTTACTTTTAGTTTAACATGGTTTACTGGTGAAGAATAGACTTGAACTCACAAAACAGCTTTTTGTCTTTCTCTTGATTTCTCGATTAGACCTTCGCTTACAGCACTAGTTACGTGCCAAAATATGCTTGATGCAGAGGATACTAAAGTTATACCTCCATTTAGCGGCCACCATCGGCGGGTATTACTGATAAACCGCCGTCACCTTCTACCTCGAATTATATTTTCTTGTGTTTTTAAAATAAAGCCAAACTAAGTGTTTCAAACGCTCGATGACCGCATAATAATGGTAACTATAGGAGACAGCACTCGTTGGGACCATACCCAAGGGTGGCCACGACCACCTGATAGAGGAAGCCGCTTAGTAGCGGTTTAATTTACAATTCATTTCTACAACTACTTAGGGGTTTTGAAAACTGGCCGCTTAATACGGCTGCCAAGAACTCAAATAAGTTGTCTTTTTGGGTAAAATTAAGCGTTCATAGGTGTCAACCAAGTTAAACAACCCCTCTTATAACTATGATTAAACATAAAATACTTGGCAATTGAAAAAAATGAGGACACTTAAGTAATAAGCTTAGATCTAAGGACACACTGCCACCATGGCGGCAGTCTCTTATGTTTCCTCTAAGTAAGTGGGTGGTGCTCTTATTGCATGCCCCGAATAGACCTTTTTACCGATACCGCGGCCATATTGAATTAATTGCATTTAAGGAGTATTATAGGATGCCCAGGGGGTATGAGCACATTTCGTTTGTATTTTTGAGCGCTTTTTCGGACATTTTTTCTTAAAGTTTTCTTAGAATAAGATGGTAATGGGAAAAAAGATCCTTGTGCCGTGTTTGGATGTAATAATGATCGCCGTTTCCCGAGAAATATACAGTGAAAGACCATATTTCTAATACTAAACTAGAGAAAGGCGATCATTATCACACCCAAACACGGCACAAGGATCTTTTTCCCCATTACAATCTTATTCTAAGAAAACTTTACGAAAAAATGTCCCCAAAAGCGCTCGAAAATACAAACGAAATGTGCTCATGCCCCCTGGGCATCCTATAATACTCCTTAAATCGAATTAATTCAATATGGCCGCCGCATCGGTAAAAAGGTCTACTGCATGCCCCGAATTTCTTCACTCGACGGACGAAGAAAGGAGGGGGGCTGCTCGTGTTGAATGACATTAGATTTTATTGCACCCAATGTTAAACTGTAAAAACAGCCGAGTTTATAGAAAACACGGAGATTGTGTGTATAAAATAATATGTAAATTTGAGGACATGATAGCTTAAACGTATGAACGTTCAATTGAAAAACGAATTTTCTTGTATTACCTTGTTTTTAGGGAATAGATGTGGTTATTTTGTTGCTTGTGTTGTTGGAATAGTTATTGTACTTTTGAATTATATTTGATATTATTATTCAGGGATGCCGGAATATTTAGAGGGGGGGACTGAACAGTGACCTGATGTGGGGAGACCCCTCTCTGTTGGCGGCATTCATTATCTACACCACCAAGAGGTTAGGGGTAGAGGTTTTTAAGGGTTAGGGGAAGGGTGGTAAAAAACCTCGTTTCCCCCCCCTGGGGACGAGGTTGGTCGGTAAAAATTTCTGAAGATGTGCAATTAAGCCAACTCGCTTTCACGTGTTTCGCTGGCTAAGGCACTTAATCGCTTGAATATTTAATTCTTGATTTTTTCCTCCCCACACCCTTTGACAACGGCTTACATTGACGGGTTGGCCTTAGTCATTCGCCATTTGCACATCTCCCATAATACACCTCGTTTGCCCCCTCAAAATTTTACACAAAAACAGAGGGTTATGCAAAGTTTTTCGGGACAAACAATTTGTATTATGGGAGATTTGCAAATGGCGATTAGGGTTTGGGATCAGACTCCTGTGGATGAGTGCCATTCTGGCTGAAGAGATAAAAGAATGGGTCGTCGAACGAAGTCTTTAAACTGTTACAACGTTGACTCTACTCTTCCCTGTAGTTTCCTATTTTTAGACTTCAATAATGGCATGGTACTTTCATATTTCCGCAATAACTCTAAGCATTCCGCCATTATTGTCAATGATTTCGATATGGTCACAGCTTTGCTTGGACGCGTTATTATAAACAAGACTCAATAAAAAATATATGTAAAAAAATAGATAAACGAGTTGATTTTGAGAACTGCTTTCAGAGTGCTCAATAGTAAAACTAAAGCGTGATTATAATAGGACGGGTAAATGAATTGTAGGACTTGAATTGGCATTTTATTACTATTTAGTTTCGTACTACCCAACTAGAGTAGCACTCATCAGATAAAATTGCCAAAAAAAGCAACTAAATAGTAATAAAATGCCAAGTCAAGTCTACAGTTGATTTATCCGTCCAATTATAAATAAATACATAAACAGATAGATAAACAACTAAGTAGATAAAAAGATAAGGAAAACTGGCGCTATCCCGATCTAGCCGTTCCCATTACCTATTTCCACCCCTCTACCAATTATTAACCTTGAAAGACTGGGACCGACCCTTTTTCCGGGAATAACAATATTTTCTCGTTTCATGTAACGAAATTTGTAGATTTGCATTTTCGATACCCAGCTTTATGTTTAAAATTTCCCTATGTCGTCAAAACTTGATAGAACAGTGACAGGCAACGATATATGCGGCGTTTGCGGTAATTCGAATATCTCGAGCATTTGTAGTAGCTGTCAAATGTTTGTGTGCAGGAAGTGCCTAAAGCAAATCTGTAATGTACAACTGTGCAGTGAAAGTAAAACTAGAAAGCATACCTTTCAAGAGTTAACCGAGATATCCCAGCAAAGATCTCCTGAGTTTGGAACTCTTGGTACCAAGCCTATAGTTAATGTAATTGAGGACATGACGGAAAGAGAGGAAGAAGCCAACTTCTCCAAGCAACAAGTCTCGAGCTCTAGCGTCGAAGAAAAAGAATGGCCTTGTAGACGATGCACTTATTTAAATTCGTCAAGACATAGGATATGTGTCATTTGTGGTGCAACTCGTGACGTCGGCGATGTGGAGCAATCGAAACCTGGCTTTATAGTGTGCAGGAATTGTACTTTCTTCAACGAACAGGATGCAACCGTGTGTAAAGCGTGTTGCAAGACTTTGGACAAATCAGAAACGTTTGTGTAGGAAAGTCTGTGGTACAGTTCAGGAAAAAGGTCGTGGGAATTATTGAATGTAGATGTATTTGTTGCAGGGTGTCCAGCGGCATGGTTGCTCAAAAAAATAGGAAAATAGGAAACTCAGGATTGAGAAAACAGGAAAAATAGGAAACTTTGTATTAAAAAATAGGAGAAAAATAGGAAAATCAATAGTACTTTTGTCGACAAAGATAGCTTCCCTGCACCCCATCAAGGTCATAATAAAGGCTATGAGTCCTTAGATTCTATGTTCATAGGATTTAGATCAACTTTCGCGGCTAAGAAGGAGTAAAAATGATCAGTAATGTTTAGTTCATTGGCTATGTTACACTGTAATCAGAATGATATGCTTGACTACAGGTCGAGCGTGGTTCTATAATCAAAGGTGATCATATGCAAATTCCCTTCAAGCTGTCAGCAAATCTTTGAAAAGCTTTCAAGGGTGAAATTTCTTAGGAGAGAAATTTCTTACGATTGAGTTGTCATTGAAGGATATCAAACTAGGACTTAAAAGTCCTATGGAAAGCTTTCCTTCCATTAATCTGAAATCAGTAGCTGGTTGAAAATATGCTTTATTGAGCCAAAAGACCACATAATTTTAAGTACGGATCCGGGCTTTCCGCGGTGTATGACACTGATCTATTTGGTACCAGATTGTAAGAGTGTCATGGTTAAGTTCTAAGAAGAACATAACAATCTGCTTAGCTATGACTGCAAGACTGGTTTCGCAACCAAAATATTGGAGCCTTCATCAGTTGCTAAGGTATAGCTGTTAACAAGGGCACCCAAGAGAGCTGGTGCCTTAAACTAAACTTTAGTCTGCTGTTTGAGCTATTTTGAAAAAATAGCTCATATGTCAGTGGTGTAAGCGTATGTATCTCTGTGGCTTTGTATCTTTGTGGCTTTGTATGTTGGGATGTTTGTTGCAAGAGCCAATAAGGTTGAAGGTACTATGAGTTGGTGCTTAGGAACCAATTAGATCTTGGCATCTATTTAAACATGGCATTGGTAAAGGTCGAACAAGGGCACTTTGAGACCGCCATCTTGATTCTTGACAATTTTTTCGTCTTTTATTACGGCTACAGGTGTTTGGAAACATTATATTAAATATCTTCATGATTCAAACGCTGTGTACAGTGATGCAGCTGTTTAAGGGTTCATATTTTAGTGTGGATGCTATTTCAAGACATTTCTGACCGATTCGGCTATCGCGAACGGTACTGACGCACGTATTTATGAGTTGTGTTTCACCTGCTTCAAGGTAGAGTATAAAAGATCATATATTTTCAAAGCTCTTCCAGTGAGGCAATAATTGATGTTTAGATATGGACTTTAATTTGAAAGTATGCGGCCTATAAAATGTGGTTTTACAAGTTTGAAAGGCAGCTTAGTTTTTTAAAAGCTGTACCGAGTATTGTTAATCCTGCAAACAAACTTTAAAAATATTATTCTCTCGCTTACAAAGTTCAAGACCTTTTTTCGTTCCGGCAAAACAAAACAAAAATAATAAGTGAACAACATGATACATCCTTCCTGCATACTAAGCATCATAGTTATTGAAACGTATTTTATTTAGTAAAGATAAGTAACTTAAGTAGAAACAGTAGCGTTAGGGAATAAAATTGGAAGAAGCTAAGATAGTTGACACAGTAATTAGATACTGTTTTATTGAGTGGAGTAACATGATATGAGCAGAAATATATTTCGGCAGTTTGATAACTTTCTTGGAAAGCCTAACATTTATTTTAATAAATGTTAGGCTATCAACCTTGACGTTGCATGAAACATAATTTAATTGCAGATGTTGTAATGAAGCCGAGGTGATTTCTTAAAATCGTTGAGAAAACAATTTGCGTTTTTCTTACGTACGAATTGTAAAAGGGACAAAGGCCAACATCTTCACGTGCAAATTGTGTGCATGAGTTATTTGTATAATTCTGTTTACTAGATTACCGTGTGATAACTCGAATTCCCTCACGTACGAACCACGAAAGGGGGCAAAGTCCAACACTTTCACGTGCCAATTGTGTGACTGTACATCTCATGCAGATTGGCTTTTCACAATAATAATACTAACTCGAACGTATGAGGACCTGTTTCGTTTTGTAACCAATGCCTTAAAAAGGCTCTTGTCTTTTAAGAAGCATTAGCTTTTAAAACATGAAGAAATAAGTTGTCGGAGTTAAGGACTGTTTCACTGAGTAGAGTCGCACGTGAAAACCTCGTGATTGTGATGATGCAACCATCTACCACAAGGATAAGAATCCTGGTATTTCTTAACTACTCGAATTCGATGAGCCACATTTTGGTTTAAGAAACTCTGAGGGAACCTTAGAGTTTTCCTTCTAATCAACGTTTGGTGAGTAGATATTTATTTTACTTTAATAATTTGTTTAACTTACACCAAATGTAACAGGGAAAGACAGAGGAAAGTGAATATATAGCATGAGGATCGACGCAGCTGAGCGTTTCGCGTTTTCATTTATGTACGGCGATACCCAATTTCGTACAAAAACCCAGCCTACATTTAGGACGAAAAAGGTAGATTCATCATTCTTGGTAAGGTTACACTGAAACATTAAAGTTACACTGAAGCATTCAAAATAGCTCATGCACGTTTAACGTGCCTATGTTTTCCATGTAGCATCCAGAATCAGCCAGTGATTGGTTTTTAAACGAGAAGCTGCATGATTGTATGATTTATCTGGCCTGTGTTGTGAGAGGACAACTTGATCCTGTTTTCAGTTTCAAAGACGAACATAAAAGCACGCAAGACTTCAAAACAAAATATAACATGCACAGATACTGAAATGCAGTTTCAGTATGCTATGCAAAATATTATTCAATAGTCATGAGGTCTATAATCACTTCATACAATACATGTAGGTGCACTAGAAAATTATACAATAAGCAACAATATCACAAAAATGTTAAAAGAACTCTATTAAGCAATAGAGGTCATGGAAAGAACAAACGTAACTATCATTTTTGAGCTATTTTGAAAAAATAGCTCATATGTCAGTGGTGTGAGCGTATGTATCTTGGTGGCTTTGTATCTTTGTATGTTGGGATGTTTGTTGCAAGAGCCAATAAGGTTGAAGGTACTATGAGTTGATGCTTAGGAACCAATGAGATCTTGGCATCTATTTAAACATGGCATTGGTAAAGTTCGAACAAGGGCGCTTTGAGACCGCCATCTTTATCCTACACAATTTTTTCGTCTTTTATTACGGGTACAGGTGTTTAGAAGCATTACATAAAATATCTTCATGATTCAAACGCTGTGAACAGTGAGATGCAGCTGTTGAACGTTTCATATTTAAGTGTGGATGCTGCTTCGAGGCATTTTTGACCTAATTCGGCTATCGGTACAACGCACGTCAGTATGAGTTCTGTTTCACCTGCTACAACTGGGTAGAGTATAAAAGATCATATATTTTCAAATCTCTTCCAATGAAGCAATAATTGATATTTAGATATAGACTTTAATTCGAAAGTATGCGCCCTATAAAATGTGGTTTTAGAAGTTTAAAAGGCAGCTTATATTTTTGAAAGTTGTATCGAGTATTGTTAATCCTGTAAACATGCTTTAAAAATATTATTCTCTCGCTTACAAAGTTCAACTGTCCTTGTTCGTTCTATTCAGTAAAGATACGTAACTTCAGTACATACAGTAGCGTTAGGGAATAAAATTGGAAGAAGCTAGTTGACACAATAATTAGATACTGTTATATTGAGTGGAGCAACATGATATAAGTAGAAATATATTTCAGCAGTTTTATAATTTTCTTGGAAGTTAATAAATGTTAGGCTATCAACCTTGACGTTGCATGAAACATAATTTAATTGTGAAAGGGCCAAAGACCAACATCTTTACATGCAAATTGTGTGCATGAGTTATTTTATAATTCTGTTTACTAGATTACTGTGTGATAACTCGAATTCCCTCACGTACGAACCACGAAAGGGGGCAAAGTCCAACACCTTCACGTGCCAGCTGTGTGACTGTGCATGTCATGCAGATTGGCTTTTCACAATAATAATATTAACTTGGACGTATGAAGACCTGTTTCGTTTAGTAACCAATGCCTTAAAAAAGGCTCTTGTCTTTTAAGAAGCAGTGGCTTTTAAAACATGACGAAATAAGTTGTCGGAGTTAAAGACTGTTTCACAAATGTTAATAAATGGTAGGTTATCAACCTTGACGTTGCATGAAACACAGTTTAATTGCAGATGTCATAATGAAGCCGAGGTGATTTCTTAAAATCGTTTGAGAAAATTTTGTAGTAAACAGTTTGCCTTTTTTTTACGTACGAATTGTAAAAGGGCCAAAGACCAACATCTTCACGTGCAAATTGTGTGCGTGAGTTATTTTTATAAATCTGTTTACTAGTTTACTGAATGATAACTCGAATTCCCTCACGTACGAACGACGAAAGGGGGCAAAGTCCAACACTTTCACGTGCCAGCTGTGTGACTGTACATCTCATGCAGATTGGCTTTTCACAATGATAAATAGTAACTTGGACGTATGAAGACCTGTTTCGTTTTGTAACCAATGCCTTAAAAAAGGCTCTTGTCTTTTGAGAAGCAATAGCTTTTAAAACATGAAGAAATAAGTTGTCGGAGTTAAAGACTGTTTCACTGAGTAGAATCGCACGTGAAAACCTCGTGAATTATTATGATGCAACCATCTACCACAATGATAAAAATCCTGGTATTTCGTAACTATTCAGTATTCGATGAGTCACATTTTGGCTTAAGAAACTCCGAGGAAACCTTAGCGTTTTCCTTCTAATCAACGTTTGGTTAGTAGAAATTAATTTCACTTTAATGATTTGCTTAACTTGCATGATGTAACAGGGAAAGACAGAGGAAAGTGAATATATAGCTTGAGGATCGACTCAGCTGACCGTTTCGCGTTTTCATTTATGTACCGCAATACGCAATTTCGCAAGAAAACCCAATCTACATTTAGGATGAAAGAGGTAGATTCATCACCCTTGGTAAGGTTACACCAAAGCATTAAAGTTACACTGAAGCATTCAAAATAGCTCATGCACGTTTAACGTGCCTATGTTTACTAATAGTCAACATACTACGTGCTTTATGATGAATTTCACTCAAAAACACACACAACTATAATTCCATTTTCAATTTTGTTTCAAATTTTGGCTTCACCAGCTCAGTAAAAAATAATATTAGGGAAAATAGAAGGTTTTAGTTTAAAAATAGGAGAAAATAGGAATAGGCTCAAAAAATAGGAAAAAATAGGAACTGGACACCCTGTTGTTGGGAGTAGCTCACGCTCAATTCAGGGAAGCGAGCACAAAGGACTGCGTGGCCTGTCAAAAGACTTTAGACGAGTAGCGAGAAATTTGTGTAGGACAATTTGCTACTCAGTATGGAAAAATGGCTGCTGACTGAAGTTTCTTGGTTGTTGGAGGTACATTCACGAATTTTCTGTGCAACACTACGCAGCTGACTACGAGGACACGTTGGCAAGCTATTCAAGCTTGTACTTGAGTAAACCTCTAGATAAGGGCAGGGAACGTCCGTTGCTAAACCGAATCGCCGTTTTTTCCTTTCGGAAAGATGTCAAACAAAAGACCTTTTTCTAAAAATAACTTTAATATCAATTATTTAAATTTAACCGGCTTACAACTCTCAATAACCTTAGTTTCAGAATATACAATATACATGATTATATGTACAAGCAAGGAAGCACTCAAATTGTGGGAAGGAAAAGAATGAAACTCAGTAGCGGGTGCGGTTACTAAAGCTCCCTTGTCCTCTCTTTCCTGTTTACAATGATCTTTTCCTTTAATCCTTCTTACCCACAGTTATTGGCAATAAGCAGTTTGCTTTAGTTTGCACTTGCTTAAATGCTGCACTACTCGAACTGTTGAGTTCCATTCATAGCAGAGAAAAAAGAAACAATCGATCAACTTAAAACAAATACACATAATCACAATTTCACTTCTCTTTTAGAGCTGATTCTTGGTACGCAAATGGAAACACATGCTATATGAAAAACTGACTCAAAAACTGACATTAACATCACAAAATTGTGATAAAAATATCAGACAATGCCGAAAAAGACAAACTAATCATGATGGATCTGGTGCATCCTCAACAACACGAAAAAATTCACAGTTTTTGCTGTTTTGTTTGGATAGTTGTTTGGCCTTTTTGCTTGCAGCTCCTTTACATTGCAGATCGCTTCTGTCCAGTAGAGCCTCTAAATCTTTGTTGCTCATCATCAGTCCATCACTGGACACTATGCTATCATGATCTCCTGACGTCAGCAATTCATGAAGTTCTTTGGCACCAATCACTTCTGTGTCTTGCTTGCCCTTAAATTTGCCTGCAACCCCAAAAATTCACCCACCATTTCATTTAGGTCTTCAGTCAGGTTCTGTTTTAGAAACCCATGTTCCTTTTGCAATTTCATAGATGACCACTTTTCTGCTGCCGAATTTCCGCACACGCGAATTCGTATGGATAGATCAAAATAATGTACAAGAGAATCTTGAACGCCCGCTCCATTTATTGTAAGAGCAAGCTTTCTTGGTCATGTAAATGGGAAAACTTGTGTTTTTTACCTTGTCAGGAGAAAGTTTGCAAAGTTTCCAATTTACCTGAGCAAGGTATATTCACAAGGAAACCTTGCTTATCTGAATGAGGTTTTACACAACTTCAACAACAACTAATTCAAACAGGTACAGTATGCATGAATAGGAGCAACAAGTTGATTATCTTTCAGACAGGTATCTAAGTTAACTGCTTCTCAGAATTTGTTTATATACAGCTGTAGTTCTATCCACAGTGTTAGCAGTCAAATTTGAGAACAAAATTTTCTCCTCCTCCTCCCTGTTATTCCCTCAGTTGAGAAGAAAAGGGTTCCACAGTGGGATCATTATACGTTTCTGGGAAACTGCCCACCTACCCTTCCCTCAAGCGAAGATTAACAATTACTTCACACTTTGGGCAAAATGTTGACTTTGGGGAGGGTGGGTGGGCAGTTTCCAGACACAATAATGATCCCATAAAGTTAGTAATAGAGCCTGACAACAAGTCAAAAAATTAATTAACATTTCAGTAGCAAATCACTCTTCCCATCAAGTACTCTACCGACCTTTGTGAATGATCATCTTTTCAAGTTTCCTCTTGGTGGATGCTCGTTCAACAATCTTTTGATCCACAGTGTTTGCAGTGACAAAGCGATACACAACAACTGGCTTAGTTTGACCTATCCTGTGACAACGATCTTGAGCTTGCAAGTCTACCTGTGGATTCTAAAAATCAAATCTTATTTTAGTACAGTGCCATCAAAGGCTTAAGGTATCGTACACCCTTTAGGACCGTCTTCGTGTGGAATTGCGTGGGTGCTTGTAGCTTTAATTACTGATTAACCCTACAAACTGTACATTTTCTACAAGCTTAATAGTTAGAGATTACGTCTCATTTCTGTTTAACATCCAGGACCGAATTGTTCAAAGCTGGGTTAAGATAACCCAGGGTTGGTGCGAGATTTGAATTCAGATTTAAAAGCGTAAAAAGCATTTCAGTGTTAATTCTTTTTGTCAACAGGTTGATGATTGGAAGCTCTAAAAATAACAGAGAAAATTATCCAAGAAAATGTTTTTGAGCACAAGAAAAAGAAACGAGTGTTAAATTTAACCCCAGGTTAAGCACTAATCGGCCTTCAAACAACCGGGCCCAGAATGTTAATGCATTTCAGGAGAGACTTTTTGCCAAAGTAAATGTCTCTGTAAATCTAAGTCCAGACCAGCGAAAAATAAACAGAACACTGAAAAATGAGAGCATTCAAGGCTGTGCTCTAAAGAAAATTGAGGGGAGCCCAGTGCTCCAAACCTGTAAAATCTAGGGTGCCAAGCATGTGATTTGTATGAAAAAACTGAGATTTTCTAGTCACCCGATAACAGGCGCCACCAGGTTCTCCTAGAGCTCAGCCCTGCCCCTGGCATGTAAATCTTACTACATACAATCATTATCATTTCATCTGACTTGATTGCAAAGGGTTCAACCAAAACCTTTAACATAACCATAACATGAGCATAAACATTCACAGCTTCATGTTACAAACTAATAACATCTTGTCATCACACTTCACAATCAGTGCCTATGTGCACATTTCCAAAATATAGTCATTTAATTCAAACAATTATTGTTTGAAGCTGGCAACTCACCCAATCACTGTCATAGATAATTGCAGTATCAGCTACAGCCAAGTTAAGTCCAAGCCCACCAGCTCTGGTGCTCAGCATAAATATAAAAACTGATGGATCTGATTCAAATTTCTTTATCTAAAAAGTGACAACGAAAACAAAGTAAGTACATTTTTTCTTTTATGGGACAGTTTATAGTCTGAACACTTCAAATATCTCAGGAATTTTTATTTTGTTGTAACCAATCACAGCAAAG